AACATGTCAGGACATAAACTTCCAATTCCTCAAAAAGAACTAATACATAAAAAGATATGAGAACAGAAATCTACATATTTATCTGGTCTTCCTGGCAGTTTATTTTCCTTGGAGCTGATTAGATGTACCTCCAAGAGTGGAAATAAGTCTACATCACTCAGTTACAGGATCCACAGTGCAGGGTGTGAAAGTCATTGCGACATGTCATTGGTTACTTTTGGTGTATTTACTGATTGAAAAAACAATGAATTTTTGGAGTTTTGAATTACAGGACAACAGTCTGGCTGATCAGTTGAAATATTGGTCAATTACAATCACCAGATGATTTGTCACTGCAACTCTAGTCCCAATGATTTTCTTACATTTCTATTTGTAATGTGTGGTCAGTTTAACATAGTTATGACTTGATGCTATTTGTATTTATAAATTGTACTGTATAATAAATAACTTGCATAAATTTTAACTCATTTTCTTCATTTAAATTAAAGACTGATAATGCTCACCGTTTTTATTGATGAATAAGACATTTAAGGAAATGTATTCTACTGTGTCATGAAAATTTGACAATGAATATGCAACAAATGAAACCTTTATCTGATTGGAGGCTGCGACATTCACTCACTCAGTAAAAGGTAACAAGTGGGCTTTCTTTATGGTCTGGATTCCTGCCCTGCGGAGATCCGGTCTCGTGTCCCTGATGAACGTCTCCAGTATCGCTCGGTAACAATGTGTCCTGAGTTGCTCGCTCTCCTCCCCAAGCCGCCGCACATAGTCCTCCACAGCATGACACGCCCCCTCTCGTGCTTTATAGGAGAGCTGGTGCCCAGGCAACCCTCTCACCCAGCAGCTCATTGGGTAGCCGAACTCAAAGTGAAATGACTCAGTGCTAGGTGTGGGTGGAGAGGGAGGTGAGATGAGTCCTGGAGGGGTGGGATTTTCTTTGGTAGTGATCTTCATGTAGCAACATGCCACAGAGGTGATGCCCCGAACTTGAGGGCAGCAGACAAAGTGGCGGAGGAGAGTGGCGCTGAGGTCTCCACATGCGTGCAGACCAGTCAAGACAAAGTCCGGATAGTCCTGCTGCAGGCTTTCATCTGGGTTTATGCCGGCTTCAGAGACAGCCTGGATGTCTGAGCCGCAGCTTCCCTTAAAAAACATCTGTTCACCCCCACTGTTTGAATTGTATGACGAACCTTCAGGATGTGATGTCTGACTTACATCTGAACGTCTCTTTTTCATGGGTGCAGATGAAGCTTGGGGTACTTCAATGACAAAATGTGCATCTTTCAGCTGCTTGATAAAACTTTCCCATGATGCCCTGGGGTTGACCCAACCAGCCATGTGCCGAGGAATGGAGTCTGCTTCAGAAAGTTGAAAGGAGCAGCTCTGAGACAAAGATTTTTATTAGTTTGATGTATATTTTTACTGAAAAATTACCAACAAATCATCCAATATTCAATAACAAAAATTTTTTTAGAACCATTGGAAATCATAGAAAATGACCTCATCTAGATATAGTTGAAATATAGAGAGAAATACTTCCAAACAGAACTAATTTTACAATAACCACATGAAAACAGCCACGTAGATAAAATAAATCCTATTTTATTAATTTAATGAATTACAGTAACAAATGCCTTATAGCAGGGGTGTCCAAAGAATGACACTAATTTGAGGTGTTTGATGAGATGAAGACTTTTTATTTTAAATTAGAGCAAATAGACAAAATACACAGTGTTCAAAATTGTTATGCAAATTTGATTTAAGTGTCATAAAGATAAATTCTTTTTGTTTTGCTATTAAATTTATCGATGGTATTTTGTGTCAGAGCTCTTTGAATTACCTGACCTGGCTGGAACATGTCGATGTTTTTAAATAAAGCTTGCCTCCCCTAAGTGGCTAAAACAGCAACTGCAAGTTCAGTGGAAAAGAAGAATACAGAAGAACTTGTTGTCCCACAGCGGGGAAATTCAGGTGTCACAACAGCAAGTTAAGGTAAGTTGGACAATGAAAAATATGGGTAAAAATTATAAAAATAACTATTGAAGACTGACATTTTAAGCAGCTCCATAAATGCTTATACTTAATCTTGTTTACTACCTAATAAATTTCCAAGAATCAATATTAAATATTAAACTTTGTGAGCAGAATGAAAATGAGACGCGAAGAGGTCATTTTTGCAAAAGGTACTTTTAATCTGACAAACCAGCCTTATCAAAACAAATATATATATATATATATATATTTATTTGACTGTATATGTGTGACAAAATACCAACCTTTTTCCGTTTTTCTTTCTCCAGGGCCCACAGTAACTCCCCATCGTACCTAGAAGCCATAGCAGCCAAGGTGTGATCAGCCTCAATAGCAGTCACAGACAGTCCAAGCCCAAAGGACAGGAAACGGGAGAGGTGACCCTTTATAAAATGTTGGAAAAGACACAGCATTCATTTGTATCCCAACTAAACCTTGTGTTTTATAAAAGAGAGAAATGCACTAGCTTCATTTTAAAGCCAGTTCCTATACTGGTTCAAAATAAGGCCTGAAGAATTTTATAGAAAGCACTAAAATGCAGCCAAAAGATAGTTAATACACGCTAATCATACCTGGCCAGATCCCACATCCACTACTCTCCTGCAGCCTGTCTGGTCACACAGTTGTTTAACGAGCTGTGTAGAAAGAAGGAAAACCAACAAATCATCCAATATCTAAGACAAAAACGGCAACATGTTGTAAACCTACAGTCAACAGAAATCCCTGTACCATGCCAAGCTTTCGGATCTCATGCTGTTTCTTGGGTTTGACATGCTTCCTGAATATGTGGCCCAGTAAAGAACTCTGACTCTGGTTTTCCAGGAACTCATCAGGCTTCATCGATGCAGCCATCTTGGCTCGGTCAGGCCTGCACTCTCTGGGAAATGCCAGGGCATGAGCAGTGGCACGGAAAGCCAGGAGGGACAGGGGCCACACCGAAGGATATCTGGAATCACAAAGTCTTTACTTGTTATTTACCTCACACTTTATGTCTGAATGTTGTTTTAGTTGCCACAAAAAACAAGTGTTTTAAACATAAAAATATGAAAATACAGTTCAATTAAAGTCAAACTTGCCTCATGACTGATCACAGACTACAAGATCTATCAAACCAACCAAATTTATCAGAGTATCAAACTATGAAAAAGGCAATAGTTAAGACAAATAAACTTACCAGTGGTTAAAAGGATATAGTGTAAGAATTTGGATCATTATATTTCTATGCATTCCCTCATAAAACGAATGAAATGCATTGAAAAAATTATTCAGTTTAACTCATAAGTTAATATAATTTGGGAAGTGTTGGCTATATTTCCAGTTTTTCTCAGATTAAGAGGTCAGAACATGTATTTGACATCATGTGTGGGTTTTCTAAAGGCTAACTATTGGCTGCAATCTAAAAAAAGTCTATTTTTCATTTCAAGAGACAACTTTGCAATGTTTGGGCTGGACTTTACAGATACATATTTATAAATGATTATATTTATTCTATTTGGAAACATATTATTGTATATTTTATGATACATACAGCTCAAATTAAAACAGCCTAAAAAGGTTCAATATTTTGTCACTCATTCCAGAAAGTGACATTTTTGTATATATTCATTACACATGGAGTTAAATATTTCAAGCCTTTATGTTATGGAGAACAATCAATAACCTTTATAGAAAAGCAACAGAAGAGTCGACAAGAGTCTGAGCTGACAAGATTGACAAAAGTGTGTAGTTTCTGCAATTTAATTATTATTTTTTTAGTTCATGTCAGATCTAATAGTCAGAGAAGACTATTACTAAGACTACAATTTTTTACATTGAACAGCAAAGGTTGAGCCATTCTAAAAATGCAACATTATGATCAGTACCTCCTGTCTTCATGAGAAGCATCCAGCAGTAGTTCTGCAATTTGTGAATATGAAATATCCTGCAGCACAGACTGCCAGGTGTTGGGTAATGTCTGCCACAAATTTTCACTGAAGAACTCCTGCGAATCAATCAATCAGTTAAAAAAAAGAAAAAAAAAAGTGATGAACATGCAATATTGTGTTCCACTGATATGTTTAAATACATGTATACACACAATAATAAAAGAGTCGGTCAAATGACTGTACTGAGACAGAAAAGTGGTGAGTCTCCTCGCCAGGTCTCTTTGCTGTTGTGCAGTAAAACTGGCTCTGAACTCCGCATCCTGTGCTGCTGACGCTGACAGGCCTTCTGACATGAGTCGCCGCAAGCTAATGCTAACACGTGTTAGCGTCTCAAAGCAGTTTAAATTAAAACTACTTTAAATACCAGGAAGGCTAGCAATTCGCTTTTAGAGCAAGCTATAGAAACGGCACAAGATATCGTTTAATACAAAAAATATTGACTGTTTTTTAAAACTAGCTAGATACTGTTGCTGAACTTTCCAGCGTACATTGGCGATGCGTTCATGAGCTCCTCGCAATTTCTGGCTTCACTGATTTACAAGCTTTTTAGCCCCCCTGCTTTATTGTTATTAAACTTACAAATCTAATTTATTATTATTATTATTATTATTATTATTATTATTATTATTATTATTATTATTATTATTATTATTATTATTATTATTATTATTATTATTATATGATAACAGTACATTTAATACTTTCTATGGAAACGTGTTTGACAGCAAAACCAGAGCAAGAAAAAAAAACTGTTTAAAAATAATTTTGTTATTTTACAGCAAGAAACATGTGTCTTTATGTGCTTTGAGGATGTGTACTAAGCATTCTGGTTTTTAATGTTCTCGTTATTAAGGTTGTTTTGCCCTGCATACATGTAATCAGCCAGTTCCTCATTGAGATCTGTAGTTCAAAAGAATATTACGAAAAACACACCTTAATTATTGTTTTCTTATTATTATTTCCTTAATGTCTTAAATACTTAAACTTTCCAGTAACTGGAACGTTGAGTGGTATGCGGACGTTGTTTTACTAACGTGAAGGCAGCATGCCCCGGATGTTGATCAGTCGTTGTCACGGAGTAGGAATCCTCGTGTGCTCCGGGCGGGCTGCTGATGTTTTAACATGTTTTTATCGCTATGTTTCTAAGTCTACTTTTAGGGTATGTATTGTTCAAATCCTAAAAAATTAGAAACAAACTGAAGCATTATTTTTTCACGTTCGGTTATCTTTATTTTAATTAGTTATACTTACTATTAGCCTTTGAGAGCTAACTACCCGCGATAAAACGTTATAAACGAAGTTTTAACAACGTAGAGGAGAGTTGTGTTATTTTGTAGCCTTGTTTCACATTTTTTGTGTCAAAATTCACTTGTATCCAGAATGTCATTTTGTTTTGTTTACTCGTAAAACAGTTTAAAAAGCAACATGAATTTAAATTATGTGTTTCTCTTCTATAGAATATATATAAACGTGAATTCAACTATTTCATATTATGCTCAGTGAGAACAGCTAGTGAGTTCAGGTTTGTTAATGCTGTTGTGATTTGTAATTAATGTAATACGATTTCACTGTATATACACATAAAAAAGGTTGCGTAGTTTAGTTATTGTGTAAAAACCGAAAAACAATACTATATGTTCATTATAATTCACATATAGATCCTTGCAATTACTTTTGCATTTCCAATAATATGTCTATCTTTACTCTCAAGAAAAAAAAAACAAAAAACATCTGATTCTAAAATGCAGAGAATAAGTAATTAGTAACATTGCTTAGTGGGCAGAATGATATACCCTCTGACATCTCTGATCTTTAAATTAGAATAGTATAAGAAGCTTTATCTAGTTAATTAACTGGCTGCTGTTTCCAGATCTGTAGTTTTGAAAATTATTGTCTGATTGAGCGGGATAGATTATACTTCTTTAATTTCTATGGCATCATCCTCTGAGTTTTACATCAAAAAATATTTCAAACAAATTTGCCTTTTTTGTAACCCAACAATACAAAGGGGAATGTTTAGAAATCTTTTTTTCAACCAGCTTTCTGACTGCATCTACAGATGTTGACGATTTTTTTTTAAAGGGCTTTAAAAAAATGTAGTCATTTAGTAATTAAATTGTGGTCAATTCTTTTTGTTGGCATTTAAAGATAGAAAAGTCAGCAGAGTATTTGTAATGTTCTCTTTCTGGTTAGTGTTCAGCTTCTTGGAATCCCCTTTAAACCTGTTCTTCTGCATTTTCAGAGGACTATGCGAAGACATTGTTTTGATAATGTATTTTTGTCTTACAGGGTGGTGCATTTAAACTGTTTTCATCTGATGCAATTTGGATTTCAAAGAAAAGAGACTTTTTGAGGCTGTGAGCATTAGCAAAATCTTGGATCGATTCGTTGCACAACGAGTTGAGAATTTAATATTTCAACATGTCTGATATTATGATCAGTGTTTCCTCCTCTGTTGATACCCCGCAGGGAATTATTCCCACAAAGAAGCAGAAGAGCAACAGGAAGAAGAAGCGGTTTTTAAAAAAAATGAAATACCTGAAGGGGAAGGAGTGTTTTAAAGATAACTCTCATCAAAGGAGAAACCATGAACACAATCGAGCTTCAAAACAGAATGGATCTTTCACCAGCCCTGCACCATCTCTCATGACAACGAAACGCCAAAGTTCACCTCATTCTAACCCCTCTTCCAGTGCTGTTGACCATAACTCTGGACCTTCAACCTCCTCTTTTAACCCTCTACCAACTACTTTCACTGTGACAAATGAAAATAGCCATACAAAGCCAAACCAACCAGTCAACACCAAAACAACAGCAACATTGTCCTGCGCCTCCAAATCCAGCACTCATAAGCTCTCTACCCCCGCAGGGAACCCTACAAAGTACCTCGCCATTGACTGTGAGATGGTGGGCGCAGGACCCAAAGGCAGCATCAGTCAGCTGGCTCGCTGTAGCATCGTCTCATACGACGGGGATGTGATCTACGACAGTTTCATCAAGCCCTCCATGTATATAACAGACTTCCGCACAAGATGGAGCGGTATTCGTCCCAGAGATCTCTTCAAAGCCACACCATTTGCACAGGCCAGGAAAGAGGTGATGCAAAAGTTATTTGTAGCACAATAACGGCAAGTTGTTTGCTTTTTCTTGTTCTCACTATGATTTTGGCACTCAGTATTTATACTTGCAACTTATCATTTCATAGGGAAGTTCCTTTATATTTACCTGAGCAATAATTCAGAAGTAAACCCAATGCTGTCTGTTTCTATACATAGTGATTGTACACAAAGTCTCAAAAATACTAATGCTTGGTTAAAAAAACCAATCAGCAAAGTGACTTGTATGTAATAGAGAATGTTTCCCAATTTCAAAACTTTGAAAACTGAAACATTAGAATACACATTCTGAATTTAGATATAAATTGTTCCTACTGAATTGCATGGATATATTTTGCATCATGACTTTCCCAAAGCAGAATGACAGAAATGTGCTGTGACTCCGTAGATCCTAAGGCTGCTCATGGGGAAGATTGTTATCGGCCACGCCATACATAACGACTTCAAGGCCCTCGGTTACACGCATCCTGCTGCCTTGACGAGGGACACGTCGAAAATCCCTCTTCTCAATATGAAGGCTGGTTTTGGGGAGAAAGAGTGTGCCTCACTGAAGAGACTTACCAAAGCCATCTTCAACCGTGACATCCAGGTATGTGAAGTCATGTTGATTAATAGTTATCGGTTCTTTGACTTAAAACCACCACTCCACATCAGTTGTCTTTGTCCCTTCACCTCCCCACCCATTTTAACTCTAAAAAAGGGGTGCGGTTGGCAGTTTAGCATTTATCTTTTCTGACAAAATAAATGATTGTGATGCAAATTATAATTTTTCTTACAAGAAATGCTAAATATATTTTTGGGATTGTTGTTTTTGTTTTTTGAAATGTCTTTTTTTCCTCTGTTAATAATAATATATCCTTTGCATATGTATGCAATTATTTAATCAAAACCCTTATTTGTTCATGTTTAGCTTTTTCTTTTGCCTAAAACACATGTCAGGTGATGTCAAGTGTTCATATATCATGTAAATAATCTGGCTAATCCTCTCCCAGATTACATTCATTATTATCTTTGGAACCTTGAGTTTAAAGCTGCCAGAAGGTTAAAATGTGTTTTTATCAATGCTGTCTGTTTTGTCCTCAGACTGGAAGAAAGGGCCACTCTTCTGTGGAAGATGCTAAAGCTACCATGGAGCTTTACAAGGTGGTAGAAGAGGAATGGGAGAGGACTCTCGCCTCCGCATCTTGACCCACGTAGTTCTATATTTGAAAGCGCAAAATAAACTCAGCTCAACCGCCTTTAAATTTAAAGATGTCTTAGAATGAAATTCAAGTCATTCATAAAAAAATAAGGTACCTTTCTTGTTAGCTTGCTTTATTGGTTAAACATGTATAATTGAAAGTTAAAACATGTTTGGTAGCAGGATTTTTACAAATGTTAAAACATTTGGAGTTATTTTGTGCACACAGGCCCAGAGTTACACTGGGTACAGTGAAGATCTACAGTAACATCGAAATGAGCACAATTCGATATTTTTGTAATATATTTTTTCACACATGTATTAATCATGTACATGTTTAAATGTTCATGAACTACCTGAAAGAGTAGTTTAAAGTATAGTTTTACAAAGAAGGAGTACCCATAAGTTTTACATTTTTATCACAGAACTTTTCATGGATGTGATTTGAACACCCACTCACTGAGTGGCTGTATAACATTCTTTCTTAGGGTTAAACTGAGTTTAAATGGTTTTTATTCCACTTTTAGGTCAGAATATCCTTTTCATCACATTTTGTGATGAAACGGATCACATATATATGGCACTAAAAACAAAGATTTAAGCCATGTTCTATAATTAAGAAGTTTGAAAGCCTATTGGTACTATCATACTCCACTGGTGGTATGAAACTTTGGAATTTTGTCTAAAAAGTTTAAACATTTTGGTTTTCTGGGACTATACCACATAATCCAGGCATGTTTAGCATACAGAAGTTGTCCTGCATACTTCCAAGCGATGTCTGCAGCTCCTTTACTGTTGCTATAGGCCTCTTGTTAGCCTCCCTTTTTCTTCACGGCTGCTCATCTGTTCTTGGTGTGATAAACAATTCTCTGACATCATTGATGTAACTGCCTTCATTGTTTCATTTTATGTCTGTTGTTTTGGAATTAGCATTTTTATCTTTTTTATTCTTCATCTTTTTTTTTAAATTATTTTCTGGTTAATATCGGTTTAGTCTGAAAAATCATCTCATATGATGGAGATACATATTGACATCTGTAAAATAGAGTTAAACCAGGATCAAAAGAACAGACTTAGTTCTTTCTATTCAATGATGATTCAACATCAAACCAAACTCGCAGGTTGTTTTTCATCTTTACATTTTGTAATAGTTTATGTTGCACAGGTTGTTGCTTTTAAGGCAGGTGTAGCTCAATTGTTACATTGTCTTTTACCATTTCTCAAAAATACTTCACCTACTTTTGCTTGTAAATAATGTTATGGAAAATAAATATCATAGTGTTTTCTTGGTTATATTGTTTATCTTTGTTCTCATTTTAAGGGCAAATTGAATCACTAGTTTGTTTTTATTACCTCAGGGAGTGATTTTAAATAAAGGTTTTTCTTTGTGGTGGGATAACCTTTCTTGAATAATATTTATGCAGGACTGTTCTTGTTTTTCCATTTGAGGTTTGACAAATACCGACTTGTTAATAAAATTCCTTTGCTCTGTTTTTAAAGACTGTTTTGTGTTTCAGAGGGGAAAAAGATTAAGTGATTACTTGTAATATTAAGACCTGGAAACACATGAAAGCTTTGCTTCTCTCACTGTGTAATGCTGTATTATTGATTTTAAGGAATTTGTTGCCCACTGGGTCATATTGCTATAGTTACCCCTTTCCTTTTGATTGTATATACCTTTCCATACACCTTTCATACAATGCACATAATAGTCATGGCCCAGCAGTAGCTCTATGCTCATAATTCAACCCACCACCAAGCTATGAGGAATTTGCTGGGTTTGCAGATTTTTAATTGAACTCCACATGCAGTTAGGATTTATTTTAAGATGAATAAGGCATTTTTGAAAATGCAATAAAATTAAGTAATATGCTGAAAAACTACATGGCTGATAGCTGAAGGCGAAATGTAGAAGTTGCTTGCAAGAGATAGCCTATCTATGCCTTTGAGAGTAATTGGTGAATTTTTGAGCGGTACTAAAAGATATATCTGTTATACTAAAGTAGCACATTGGATTGTACTGCTCCCTAGTGGCCAAAATCAATTATTTCAGAAGAAAATTGGGTAGTTCAGTTTAATTGTTTTTTACGTTAGAATCCGCTTTGCTTTGAACTATTTTTGAAAATAAGAAATATGTTCGTTATTTAAGGTTACCTCCCGTCATGATTTAAGGTTTTACAGGCAGAAGGTGGGGATGGTGCAGGGGTCCTCGATCTTTGAACAGTTTCCATCCACATTTCTTCCCTCGTCTCCTTTCTCGTCTTGAGGACCGCCTCTGCTTCTTCAGCGCAGCTGGAGATCCTGTCGCAGACAATAAGGGCTGCTGCACCTGCCTGGAGGCTCCTGACTGAGGACTGACTGCACAGCCGCATAAACTTCAGCCGCTGGAAGATGAAGTAAGTCATTTTAATTGTATGCATTTAAGAATAGCCTACATAACATCCGTGGTCATTTTTTCACTTTATTTTTTTTTTAAGTAATAAGCTTCGACTTAACAAATGCTGAATTGTCTGCATTGTTCAGAGATCAATAGATACTTTATGGAGATAATTTAACTTGAATTGCGAGGAGCATTGATAGATAAGACCCACCGGTGTGTGTTTGCATGTGTATATTTATGCGTAAAATAGACTGAATTTGTGATAAGTTTATCACAAATTTATCGTTGAAAGATTTATTTTTCAATTGGGTCTTTCAGTCCAAATAATGAGAGTAATATATAAATTATTAAAATATACTGAGAGATATTCTGTTACTTTTGATTATTTTTGCTTAAAACTATTTTAAAACCATAAATTTAGTTCATGAGAAAAATTGAAAAGCTCTAGAAGCCACCAGGACGGTTAAAGCCTTGACAGGATTGTGAAGCAAATCAAATCAAGGCCTTGATTGCAGCTAGAGTTGGTTTTCCAGGAGCTATTGCATGCAGAGATATCCAAGGCTTGGGCTGCAACTGACCCATTTCTTGTGCTAGGCCACTGCTAAGCCAGAGGAAACCTCTTACCTGAGCTAAGGGCACCGACATACTGAACTACTTCTTTGTGTTTCCATGAAAGAAAAAGTTTTATTTCATTTGGAAATCAATGTCCCAAGATGAAGAGTGGACTCGCACAGAATCCAAGCCATTTGAAGTTCAGGGTGAAGTTTCCATTTGTAGGTCCACATAGTCTGTTAGTGAGGGTCCAAGTCCAAAGTCAGGCAGCTTCATTCTTCATTCTTCCTTCTGCTGACAAGCTTTTGAAGATGCTAATTTCAATTTCCAATTGGACTTGGCAACTTGTCACATTGCCAAAAGAACCAGTACTTGCTTTAATGATCAATGCATCAATGTACTGGTTTGACTAGCAAATTAGCCTGACCTAAGAGCCACAGAAAATCCAAGGAGTATTATCAAGAGGAAGATGCGCAACATCAGACCTAAAAATACATATGAGCTGTCAGATCAGTCTGCGCTTCCTCAGCCGTATCGCAGCTTGATGCTGCACTTAATGGATTGAATTTTTGATGGCTGTAAACCCTAATCCAAAAATACAATTTTCAAAGACATAAATAAATACAAGTTTTTTTTTTTTAAATTTTTATTTAATTGCTGAAATAAACAGTTTTTGATTATATTACAGTTTCTGTTGATGCAGCGACATATTTACTTGTCCAAAGAAATAATCACCAAAACTGAACTTTGATCATTCATAATTCTCTGAAATGTTCATATTCTGCAAAAAATTTATAGACTACAAATTGTTCAGTGGAGTTAGTTATTCTATTTGAAAATATAAATCTGTGCAGAACTGACATTTAAATTTTAGAAAGTTCCAATGTCTCTTTCGCACAATTAGAGGGGTAAACATAAGATAAAAATCATCGCAATAATAACTGTCATTACACAATTATTATTGCAATAATATTTAAAAATATAACAGTCACAGGACAGTTCTTTACTGTAGCTTTATCAGTAACTAGTTCCATCTAACTTTAGTTTGTAGCTGTTTTCTCTCTTGCCAAAGTTTTTGCTTTTAGGTAAAGAGATGTTCCCTACCACTCCATCTAATCTGATGACCTTCAATCCACTGGAATAACATTTGCAGGAATGAATCATCCTCAAAGCAGCAGCTGGTTGCCAAATCCAGTTTGCTTCACTCTGTGCTTAGAGTGTACATTTCTTTCCCACAACATATGAATACATTTTTATTACATGTTTACTGTTCTTTGTTTATTATGTTAACCTTTGAAGGCTAAGTGCTCTATTTTTTTCCCACATTTTTTTCTGTCATCCCCTTAGAATTGTGTTTGATATCTGGTTACTGCATGTTTGTGTAACCCCTGGAAGTGACACTTCTTTACTGTCACCTCCATAATGCTGGAGCAACAGAATTCCTACAATATGAGTTCTGTGATAGCTGTTGTTTTCCTCACTGAATTTGAGCCATCAACTTCCAAAAAGTCAGAACTTGGTCAACTTGTTGCACTCAAACTGGGATGCTTCTGAAACCAGCGAGATGAGTCTTTCGTCATTGAGTTTTTGTAAAGGTTTTAAAGTATTTGTCTTGCTGCACAGCGAGTCAGCATCAAATAAGAGCTGGTTGCTGCTTGAGGCTGACTGCTGAGCTGTTCCAAATCATTCCTGTGAACCTAACATCTCTCTCAGCACTCACTCATGCTGTTCGAAGCCTCTTTTCTTTCTCGCTGTTACCTCTTTTCACTTTGAGATCTCCCTTGCTTCCAGCCCTCCCCGGCTCCTTCTTGCTTCCTGTCAGATTGTGCTCGTCAGAAGAGGGGGGTGTTCAGGTTGCCCCTGGAGATGGGCTTCCTTTGAGGTGGTGTGATGTCGGGCTGGTGGGCCAGAGTGGAGAGGAGCTGCAGAGGGGCAGAACAGTGAAGCGGTGGTGGTCCTTGCCATGAGAAAGCGCAGGAGTGAGGGGGAGGTCAAGTTGGACCAACAGGGCCACAGCAAGTGGTTTTGAACCCATTTTCCAATCTGAATGACAGTGAAGTTGAAAGCAGCATTTGTCGCTTTGGTTGTGTGTCTGAAAGACATCCAGGGTCAGTGAGTTCATTCGCTTTCACTAATTTAGAGTTCTGGACTACTGTAAATACTCAGAAGTCATAAATGATGTCTATTTATAAACACTGTATTGTTGCTTATTTTGCAAAAATAGGACAATAATGAAGAAAAGGCCAACCAATACTTTCATATCTGCATATTCATTTGACAAAGGCAAGTTATTTTTGAAACAATGTTCACAATATTAGGAACAGCTGGAGTAACTAACTGGAAAGGATAATAAAAAGCTGGTGCACATAAATACTCATGTATCCATAAGTCTTATTTTATTCACAAAAAGATTATTAAACATAAAAGATTATTAAATAGATTGAAATAGTGGTGGTCTTTTATACCATTGTTAATTATTTATCATAAAAATGTATTAAGAATTTTGATTAATCATTGTTATGATACATTTCAGTTGTTGATGGTAAATAAAAAACAGGACAGACAATATGATTGAAAATGTTTTTATTCAGTTTTATCCACTGTTCCAGAAGCATCAATAAATATCATTTGAAAATGTGAAAATTCAATATGTTGTGTGGTTTAGTGCTTTAAATCACTCTTTTTAAGTAAGAAGAAACCTATTATAATTGGGAATATTTTTCAAGAATAACTATTTTGTTTGTGGTACAAGAATAGTGTGCCACACAGTCACAACCGTAAAATTCCCAAGAAAATAGGTAATAAATATTTTTTATCATAATCTTTATCATAATCAGAATAGTACAACAAAATATTAGATAAATATCACCCACCCCTAGAGACAAAATGTAACTTTTGAAAACTGATTGCTTGTTGTATGAATATATATTTGTTAAATTCAGTCAGAGAAATAGATGCAGAAGAGTCATGTTGCATCCTTTTTGTCAATGTGAAGCCTGATGTTGTCAAGGGCGAAGGATGCAAATGCAGAGGAGGCAGGTGGTTGAAATATTTAACACATAGCCCAGGCGATATGCTGGAGGAAACAGTATTGCTAGCTTTGCACTAAACTATTTGCTGAAACAACAGCCTTATCATCTAACTTGTTAAAATGGTAAACTGGCAAACCTTTCACACAGCTGGTGCAGTGCTTTAAACATGTAGCACAGCCCTCCTTTCCCTTCACCTCTTTGCAGCCTGAAATGACCTTGTTGACAGACTGAGTAGTCAAACATCGTCTCCTGACCTTAACCTCGTTTATCTAAAGGTGAAGACATTGACTATTCAGTCACTTTGTGATGCCTGGCTTTGTCTTTGAGATGTTGCCTGGGATTCATCCTTTGCCAGGGGAAAACCAGTTCTATTTGTTTTTCTCCCTCCATTGTCTCTGGCTATATAGCCTCCAAGCTTTATGGAAATGTAGTGATGGTAAGTGGGATCAGTCTGTGACAATCATTGTACCTCAAAGCTTAAAAATACTAATATTCTTTTACTTTCTTGTAGTCTTTCAATGTATTTGTCTTTTTTATGCCAATCCAGTAGCTTGTACAGAAAAGCAAATATCTTCAAGCAGCAGTATGATGTCATCGTTCATTTTGCAATCCTGTCAAACTTTTTAACTCTGGTTCCCATTTTCCTCAGATAACTGCGACACTGACATATTAAAATCACAGGCTTAGCACATTTACCTTGAAATTTGTCACACACTGTGGATGGATTGATGTTTAACATTTTGTGAAAAATGAAAAAAAAAAACATGCTGTTTCTTTTCCTATTAATATCTTCTTTAAATGAATATGTAGCCATCAAAAGCTCTTTCCAGGATTTATTTTCAGCTTTGAGCTCCCATGTGGCCTCTCTCTCTTCAAAGCTTTCTTCTTGCAATGTCAAAGTTAAGTCTAGTTATTAGAAAAAAACTTTGAGTGATTATGCATTAATCCTGTTTTGATTAGATGTCTGCTCTACAAAGAAACCCACAAAACAGTTTTAATTCCCTTCATCACTGCATGTTTAATACTCCTCTCAGCCTGAAGGAAATGTTGCCTTGCAGGACTCAGGTCTCCAAACAATCAGTGATAGGCTTTCTTCTCTGTTCTAATTTGTTCTTGCATAAGAGTGCCTTCTTGAACCTTTTATGTTTATATATCCTCATACTACAGGATTTGATTTTGTTTTTGTCTCTGACTTGGACATCATACATGTTTTTATAGTGCTCTATTTGCTTAGATTTGCACTTGAAAATCTAATTATATATGTAGCAGGTATTTTTGAAGTTTTTTTTTTTTTAAGAAATTGAAACGATCACTCTAAGATTCTTCTGGGCTTTAATAGGAGAACAAGAAAAAGAAAAAAGAACATGAAAACTTTCTTCATTATTTGTGGGGAGATAATGATATAAATCAAGTACAAACAGCAGCTGAGTTTCTATCTGACCTTCCTGGAAGTTTTCAGGAGATCAGAATTCAACTCACACTCTGCAGCTCCTGAAGTCTGACTCACAGCCGCTAGAAAGCTCCAGGGACACACAGGCAGTCCTTTGGCTTGTCTCAGTCCAAATGGCTGTTTCAGTAAACACACACACGTTTTCCCATGGGGCTATTTTAGATATGAGCCATACCCTCACCCCAGAAACCTAACCATTCCAACAGGCGACTTCCCTGGACTACACTTATGAACAACCAAACTAACTTTTTCTTAAACCTTCAGTAATACTGCATAATCTGATATGATCTTAAAAGGCAAGAAAGAGTTGATCCATTAGCTTTATTTATGTGCAAGCATTTGGGATCACATTTTCCAGCTACTAAAACTAGAAACTATTATAAAAATATTTCTTTTTAAGACTGAACTGTTCCAACTCAAATCATGGGTTTATCCCTCCTTTTCACCCATCAGTGAGTTTCAGTTTGAGACAGAGGAGTCCAAGCATTTTGGTGTCCTGCTCTCAAATGACAGTAGAACGGAGACTGACATGCATGTCCACAGTAAGAGTAATAGTTTAAGTGCTAAACTCTCAATTTACCCGTGGATAGAGGTTGCACTTGCAACTCTCATTAGAGGCATGAGTGAACCAAAAAAAAAAAAAGTCTAAGAAAATTAGTTGCTTTTCAACCTCACAAGTGAAATTTAAATTATACTGCTTGTTCACATAGATATTTGTTAGGTGTCTGGTTTAGACTTTGTAGCTGAGAATTATGTGTAGTTTTCTTCTAAAACCCTCCCATTTCTCCTTTTATTTTGCAGACTGGACATGTCTCCACACCTTCTGCTGTTTACTCTCTACCTCCTTGTTCTACCATCGTCCCCGACTCCCGACCAAGAGTCAGGTATGCACTTATTCACTGCTCTGTATCAGCTTAACTTCCTCTATCTATCACCAATATTATGTGATATTAATAAGCTTAACATTTTGGAATGACTGGGTGTTTTTGACTATGTGTACTGTGAAAATAGTCTTTAAGGTTTGCTGAATGGAAAATATAAATTTTAGCAGACACCAATGTATAAAGATCTAGTTGTTAGTAGCTGTAAAGTTATGGAGTAAAAATAGCACCAGAGATTGTTTTGATGAAGTAAAATCTATTCTAATCAAGTCTGGTGGATTGGGTTAGTAAAATCTAAGACTAGTTCTTATACTTTTTCTTCCCTAAATATATAACATTTAGGGAATATATAATAAAATAATATATATGAACAATGTACTGATCTGGCTTTCTATATATACAGAGGACAAACGATCTTCAGGCTAGGGACCACAACCGGCTGTTTTAATAGTTCAAACCAAACACCAAATGCACCTCAATGTACATCAATATGTTCAGTGGCAACCATCTTGGCACTGCCACAGAAGGAAACATTCAGGGTCTTCCTTATTTCCGCTATTTGGGGTACAGCCAGTCAGCTTCAAAAAAGATAAGTGGCGCTCCTGGAATGGAATATCAATAGCATGTCAAGAAGCAATGCACCTAGGCATTTTAGCTTCATTTTCTTTGTAGTATTCAGGATGTCTTCTATGAAAAAATCTGCAAATACTTCAAATAGGTGCCGTTCTACTGTATATATTTGTTAGAACATAAAATGAAGACATTTTAAAATATCCCTCAAAATGACTGTATTTAATCCCTTTTCACTCAGATGATTTCAAGCTTCTCCAGGTAACCATCCCTATCACTGTGCCTGTGCTTGCCATGCTGGGGGGTTCACTGACTTTGCCCTGCCTGGTGTCGCTCACCCACCCACCGCCGTCGCCTCCCACTAACGGGCGCCATGCTGTGTTGTCTGTGCCCCGAGTCAAATGGAGCGTCCTTAGGCATGGTGAAGAGATGGAGATCTTGGTGGCCCGTGGCGACAGGGTGAGAGTCAACGAAGTCTATAAGGACAGAGCCTCGCTGCTGAACTACGCCTTCTCCCCCGCAGACCTCACCCTGCGGCTGGAGAGCCTGAGGCAGAACGACACTGGCTTCTATCGCTGTGAGGTGCAGCAGGGGCTGGAGGATGCTGATGATGTGGTTCTGGTCAAGGTCAAGGGTGAGATGCATCAAGAATAAGTATTGTTAGTTTTCAAATGATGAGAGAGAAATGGATTAGAGAAAAAGTGAATAGCAATATCACAGTTTAGCAATTTGTTGATACTTAAAAGAAAAATTAATGCAATGGTCCTGAAAGCAGAATATTTGAGAAACTAATTGTTTCTTAGTTTCTTAACTAATAAACAGTCGGACATTGTGAACAATGTTTATGTTCACAATCCTTATGATTGTGAACATAAGGGTTCACAATCAAAAACAATGTTGCTCATGTCTGCATGATTTGCACCATAACAAAACAAACGAGGATATCTGACCTAATGAACCTGTCCCTCTGTGTTTGACAGGTGTGGTGTTTCATTATCGCGATGCATCCAGTCGGTACGCCTTTACCTTTGAGCGCGCCACAGCGGCCTGTGAGGAGATTGGGGCTGAAATCGCCTCCCCAGAGCAGCTCCTCGCAGCCTATCACAGTGGATACGAGCAGTGTGATGCAGGATGGCTGTCAGACCAATCTGTCAGGTCAGGATCTCAGATGAAGTGGTCCTTCTGGACTTGCAAATTCTGTGTTTTGTGTGATAAAGCCCTGCGGCTTTTTAATGAGTTTGGAAACCATCCAATCTTTCCTGCTGAACTATATGAGTAGCAAACCTGAAATGACATCTCGATAAGAGCAGCATGGGATGCATCAAGCAGAATCTAGTAGATGAGGGTTAAAGTTCTCCACTTACCCATCCTCCATTTGATGTGCTGTCTGCATTGACACATCAGGAAACAATGATCATCCCAGAGCTGAGAGGCTCTTGTTACATCTCTAACCAAACACTTCTGGACACTTCATTGTGTTGACAAGCACCCTAACAAGCATCGTCATTACAGATGAAGAGGCAGCTGAGGCTTTAATGATGTGTGACTTTCTGCCAACAGATATCCCATTCAGATGCCAAGGGAGGGATGCTTTGGAGACATGGATGGTATGCCGGGAGTGCGGAACTATGGACTGTTGGACCATGATGAGCTCTATGATGTCTACTGCTATGTGGAAAATATTCAAGGTAAGACATTTAAGATGGGGTTCGAGTAAGATGATGTCAGAAATAAACTACCTCACCTAATGTAGAATTAAGACTATTTAATATCAAATAATTTCCATACAAAGTCAATGAAGAGACAAAGCAACCCAGTAATAGTTCCAGGATGCATCTTTTATCCAATGATCTTACAGCTTATGATGTGTGACTTCTTTGAAGGAGAAAGGTTAAGTTATGATGTGTTCCCCATGTCAAAGGTGAGGTGTTCCATGGCACCGCCCCCCAGCGCTTCACCTTCTGGGAGGCGAAGGCTTACTGTTTGAGTCACGGTGCGGAGCTGGCCACCACGGCTCAGCTTTATGCAGCCTGGAACGATGGACTGAACCACTGTAGCCCAGGATGGCTGGCGGATGGAAGTGTGCGGTACCCTATTGTCACCCCTAGAGAGCGCTGTGGAGGAGGGGAACCTGGAGTGAAAACCATCTATCAGTACATCAATCAGACAGGCTTCCCTGATATTCTCTCTCAGCACGATGTTTATTGTTTTAAAAGTAAGAGCGACCTATTTTGTTCTTGTGGAGTGGAGCCACTCCAAATTTAGTTTGTTTTGCTTTTTTATTCTTGTGTTTCTTTCTCCAGGTGATAATGGCCCTTATACTGAATCCCCTCAAGATGCTCTTCCCACTGAGCCAGAGGACATTGGCCAAGACATTGTTTTCCAGGCCACTCAGGAGGATGCCAGCTTGGGTGAAGTTGCACCAGAAGGGAGGGAGGAGATGCAACATCCCCAAAAGGCAAATCCAGAAAACCAACACCCTGAAATTCCTTCACAGACTTCGACTCCCCTGTCTGATCATGAAGAGACATTCTCTACTATTGAGAGCTGGGAGCTGATAAAGAAGGAAAGTTACCTTGATTCTTATCAGCCAGCACCTAAAGAAACCCCAAACAAAGATCACCAAGAGTCTCTTGTATTTCCGACATCTTCTCCAAAGTTTGATGCCGTAACCAATGAGAACGGTACATCTGCAACTTATATCACAGCATCAGAAACTCTGATGCCCACAGAGGGTCACACCTTGGAAACTGTGAGCTTGGATTGGTTGGCTGTTAATGCCACGTCTGAAGATGATGTGGAGGAAATTCATCATGAGGAGAGTGATCTTCCAGTTTCACAAGAGGACTACACAACAGATGTCTCTTCAGGTCCTTTCTCTGTAACTGAATCTGCTGTTTCAGAAGCTCCAGAGGAAAACTCCACTCATACTGCTGTACAACTTTCAGCTGAAACAACTTCACCCCAAAATGAAGAAGTTGATGTTCCTTCCACCTCCATGTTCCCAACGTTTACTGAGAGTTCGGCAGAAGAGATTTCCGGAGAGGGGACTAATGATGCTCAGGAAGAGGAAACAAAGGATACTGTGACTCCCAATTTTACAGGAATTGACATTTTGTCCACTTCTGACTCAGGTAAAGTAATTTGTGATTTCACTGAAAAAGAACGTTTTGTACCAGTTAAAGTATTTTGCGAATGTTAAAATCACAAACTTTAAACCCTTAAACTTCACCATGCAAAGATAGTGCACAATTGTAAAGTGGAGGGAAAATGATACACCATTCTAAAGATATATATTTCAAATAAATATTGAAAAATTATGGAATATCTTTGTTTACAGCTATCTTGCTCTGATATTCTTTAATAAAATTCAGTGGAAACAAAGCCTCTCGAAGTCACCTTATCAGAGACACGAGTCCAGCTGTTTGTACAAAACAATAGCACTAGGTTTGAACATGTCATGGAGATAAACATATCTGGAAATGAAACAATTAAACATACCAATATATGGTTATCTTCTACTTCTCAGGAGGGATAGTCTCGCAAAAAAAACACTGGTAGTTGTGGAGCCCGAATAAATCCTTTTGACGTTGTGCTTTTGACAGGTTACACCCTCACCCTGGAGCACTCTGATGTACCAACAGAATCAGCTCTCCATGTGAACAATCACGATGAGGATATAAACAGCTCTTCAAACACTACAGAAGCTGATGATTTAACAGAGCAGAGTGGACACATCCCTCCAGCAAAGTTACCAAATGTAGACGTTCCCCTAGTCACAGATGAGACATTCCTGGTATCTCCGGACTCTGTAACACAAGATCCTCTTTCTGTAAAGGTGGAAGTCAGATCCGATGATAGAATCTTCTATCCAGAAAGTCCCACTCCTTCTGAGGTTGAGCCTTTGGAGGAGAATCAAGACCCATTAGAAGAAAACCAAGAGGTCTTCCTCAATACTGTCCCAAATCCCACAGAGGATGATTTAAATGAGGGATGGGATGAATCCTCAGGAGAAAATCCTGAACTCAATGCGACAAACCCGACTCTCTCAACTGACCACAGGGTTGATGGCAGTGAAGCTCCTCCTCCGACCGAGATAAAGATTACACTGATTCCTGATCTGAGCCTCACACCCAGGTGGGAACCGGTGCCTTCGACCCCAACAGCACAGGAGTCTCGCTCTGATCGGGAATACAGTGCAGAGCCGCCTGTCCATGAAAAATCTAATGAGATCTCTAAAGAGCAAGAATTTTCTAGAACACGGAGCAGAACTCATGGTAAATAATAATGTTATCTCTGGGTTTTGCTAATTTGATTTTATAATACCTGTAGTTCTTTTCTGGAAAATAAATGGACTGGTAATAAGTTGGGTCTGTAATTCAAAGAGCCCCTTTACTCCATTTCACTCTGTAATTAGCTTAATCCATCTTCCCACCAAGACTGACCAGCTTTCGTCAACTTCTAATGTGAAACATCCCCACAGAACAATTCTTCCTCCACTGTGTATTCAACTCTGTGCTTTGTGTGTAGGCCAAAAAGTTTATGTTTATGTTAAGTTTATGATGAACTTTGGTTAGCAGCACAAGGATCAGAGGGAAGTGCAGGAGAGCCCACCACAGATGAGCCTCCAGTCCACATCTGCACATGGCATCTTGAAGAAGAGGACAGTTCCCCTGCAGTTCCCACGGCTAATGTGGATGTGACTATTGCTGCTCCTCATTCAGATCGAGAAGTTTTTAAAGTGACTGAAAGGCAGCACACAGCCATGGGGGCTGCTCTTCCTGCAGGCAAAGTTCCTGCTGCAACACAAGGAGGTTTGTCTTACTTTTCCCTGGATACATTAAAAGAAAAAAGGTGTTGTGTCTGTAAGATATTTGCTACCAGGCTTTACAGAACAGATTGATTAGCAATCATATTGAAATAGTTTCTTCCCCAACATGACACAACTTGAACAGGGTTGTGTCACCATGTGCTGAAAGAACTTACAAACTATCCACCTGGATTATGAAAAGATGTAAAAAAAAAAAAAAAAAGAAAGAAATGGATAGGATTAATATTGTTATCAGTGACATCTCTAAATATACAAAACTAAAATTAAGTTTTCTAATTTGTTTAAAAGCTTTTCAATGAAAAAATGTTCAAGATCAAAATCAATCTTCTGTTTATTATTGGAAATGTACTTTATGTATTAAAACAGTATGTAGAAAGTTTGCAGCATAAATTTAACATTTTCAGTACTTTGTTCAGGTAGCACGGACTAAACTTGATTTAACAGCGCCACCTGGTGGTGGCTCCTCAGACTCCAAAGGAACGAGACATCTACTTTTTTTCAGATTATGAAAAATAGGATTTCAAAATAGTGTTAGAGACATATGTTCTTCTATGAACTCAAAAGACACACACAAAAAACAAAAACAAACTAACAATAAGGTTAAAAAGTATGAATAAACAGAACTTTACAGTCAGGCAACAACTGCTACAACATTATGAACATGTTGTAGTTGTGTTATACTTTTTTTTACTTTACACTCCTAATCACAAGTCTTATGTAAAAATAAGTAATTAGTATTCTGAAACTGAAAGTCCAGTGAAGAGAATATGAAGCAAATGCTGATTATTTGCAACTCTAATGTTGAAAGAAAGAGATCAAAGAATGCACAGATTTTTAATATCATCTTTATCTGTACTGTGGTTGCAGACTCCTGCCTGGAGAATCCTTGTCTGAATGGGGGAACTTGTATTGATGGTGATCCACTAAAGTGCATTTGCTTACCTGGTTATGGAGGACCCTTGTGTCAAAGAGGTGTAGTACTAAAAAAAGCAACAACAATCAACACATTTTCTGTAATGCAAGAAATAGTCTGCAGACTCTTCCCACTAATGTGTTTTGCTGTTTATCCGGACTCAGATGTGGAGGAGTGTGAGCCAGGTTGGGAGAAGTTTCAGGGCTTTTGCTATCGTCACTTCAGCAAACGGCAAAGCTGGGAAGCAGCAGAGCAGCACTGTCGGTTGTGTGGTGGACATCTGCTTTCTGTCATGACTCCTGAGGAGCAACATCACATCAACGGTAAAACTTCGCTGAAGAGATGCAGGGACTCAGAAAAGCACTTGGTAATATCTGCAAAGTAGTCAGCTGTAAATAGCAGATATGTTTCCACTCTCAGTCAAAGCAGATGTTTGTAAAAGTGATGATTTAAAATACACTTAGTTGTAAATTAGGGTTGCACCTTTGAACAATTAGTAATTCTACTGCTGATCAAGAGTTTTTCTGCATGGAGGTGGACCGATAGTTGTCAGCAGTCCAAAAACATGGCAGACTCTAAATTGCCCTTAATAGTGGGTGGGTTTGTCTATGGTTGTTGCCCTGTGATAGACTTTCTCGGTTACTACAACACTGCCGATATTCATAGAAAATGCTGTAAAAATTACTTATTTTATTTCTTCAATAGTTTATTTGATATACTTAGTGACTGTATGCTGAGAGCACTTGAAATCAAAGTATTTTTTTTTGTTTGGGAATACAATTTTATCCTACATATAGTTGATTCTGAAAAATCACACCGCTTCCAACTTAATGATAAAAAAAGATCCAAAAAATATTACAGATTCTTTAAGAGTCACTCTTCTGTTTAATTTTGTTGCAATTATTCCATCAGAAATCTGAAAAAATCTTCAAACTTGCATTTGCTATTGTATAAGTAATAGTTGATTCACTAGAACTTTTGCCAAAGTTATTAAGAGTCACTGTGGAAGAAGGTCCAAAGAGCAATTCACCATTTGTGTAAGAAGTGCAATTGTTGAGGACAACATGGTAAAATAGTTTTATTTCCTCCAACTGTAAAAAAGTATTTCACACAATCAGAAAAACACTCCGAAGCCACTCCATCAACCACCTGAAACAGATATCAGCCCAGGGAACTTCCTGCCCAACATTCCTCATTTTCAGACACTTGAAAGATCTCAAGTGCTAAAAATGTGTCCTGACATGACAGAAAAGGCGTTTTATTTCTTTCAACTTATGGAATCTGTGTTTTTCTCAGAAAGCTTCCCGGTTGTAAAGTTCTTGCCGATATTTTGTCTGGCGGGGGGCGATGAGATAGTTATCTGACATTCCACTGGCTCCTCTTTCGTCCACGGCTCATTTTACCTGCACATCTAAACGCTGTGAAGGAATCAGTTTAACAAAAGTCAACATTATATCATAAAATGTGTAAGAAATTAAAAAGCAGGTTTATACTCTTTATGTTCTATGATGTTTTGCTGCATATTTTATTAAATGTTGTCCTTAAAATAAATCAAACTTTCCCTCAAACAGTCAAAGAGAATCCAGTTTCACAGTTCATTTCTGTGTCTCTAAACCCTCTCACAGAAACAATTTTCAATTTCAGTTACAGGTTTGAGTAGGTGAAATATAAATGAACAGTTAATTCTTTCTATGTACTACTTACATATTTTTTACAAGATAAATGCAATTTTTTTTATTTAGATAAATACAGAGAATATCAGTGGATTGGACTAAATGACAGAACCATTGAGGGAGACTTCCGCTGGTCTGATGGAAACCCTCTGGTGAGTTTTTCCAGGACTTCTCAAACTGTTTAATCTTTTATCAGAATTTTGACTTTTTACATTTTTTTTATTTATTTAGTTTAGTTTGCACCTTCTTTTCTTTTGAATTATGTTGGAAAACACCAAAAGGCTGAATTTGATTTAGGATCTTCCTGCTTTTAGCTCTATGAGAACTGGTACAAAAACCAGCCAGACAGCTACTTCCTGTCTGGAGAGGACTGCGCGGTGATGGTTTGGCACGATGGTGGTCACTGGAGCGATGTGCCATGTAACTACCACCTGTCCTACACCTGCAAAAAGGGTGTCTGTGAGTTTTCTGTGTTCAAGAAAGAGCTTTCCTCATTGGATTCTCATTTTAAGATTCTAACTAAAGCTGGTTCCAACAGCGTCCTGCGGAGAGCCCCCTCGGGTCCACCATGCTCGGGTGTTTGGGAAAAAGCGGTCGCGTTATGAGACCAACAGCAGGATTCGGTACTACTGTGAAGAGGGTTTTATACAGAGGCTCAACCCTGTTATTAGATGTCTGCCTGGAGGCCACTGGGAAGCACCTCAGATCACCTGTGTGCCAAGTGAGTTCATTAAATGTCTTGCTTTTTATTAGCTATCACAACCAATAAATCACAAGCGTCATATGCTTCTGCCGTACATTATATGTTATCTTTACCAGACCTCTTTTCTGCATATCAATGTAGAAAATTATTGTGTGAAATATTGAACATTAAACTCATCCATTAATATTTGAGCTTTGACCAAACAACAGCATTGCTTAGAAAAAAAATATTTATTTGTGGTCATCTCGTTTTTGATTTAATTGATTTGATTTGAGTTTAAACTCTTTACTTTGTTCTCATTTCATGTTGAAATGTAATGCATCCTTCTTAGTTCTAAAATCTTTGTAACTTTACTTCAGTATTTTCACCATATTTATTCATTTTTCTAGCTTACTTATTTTCAAGTGCATTTGCAGAAAGTTCTGAAACTAATCTGCTCATTCTCCTCTGGCATCAGCAAAAAGATTTTATCCTGTCCTTTCACTGGATGTTTTGTCCAGTTTGGCCTGGAAATCTCAGTAGATTCTGAAGGATTCAGTTCACCAATAAAGCTACTGCATTACAAGTCTATTAAATCTCCTCTCTATCCCATTCTGTTGCTCATTTAAAATTTCAGTTTTTTAGTGTCACCACAATTAGATTTTAAAGTATTAACGTTTCATACATTTTAACAATAACTGAAAAAAATGCTTCTTTTTTTCCACGTTTAGCTCGTACAGTGGAGGGGGATTCCTCGCCTTCCCAGCCTGACCAGCATGAGGACGTCATGGTTGCAGCTGCAGAGAAAGCAGCACCACTTTACTGGGATATAAAGTGGAATTTTTAATAACATTTTGTCCTATAAAGAAAATAAGTTTTCCCCTGATTTATGTCTTAAAGACTCTCCTACTGAATTACCACATTATGGTTGTCTGTGTAAACGAAAACAACCTCAGCTGAAAGTGTTTTGATCCAAATATCTGTCTTACTGTGCTGCAAATAGTGAAGTTTGTTTTAAAAAAAAGTTATTGCAAAATGACCTAAACATGCTACATAAACTAGAAGTACAGTAAATTTTCTGTCAAATAATTAGAAATGAAGAAAATTGATAGACATTGCAAACCACAAGAAAACGATAAATTTAATGATCATACACAATGATGAATTTTCACTATCCAATAAAAATTCCAGCAGAATGTTTGTTTTTTTTTTGTGTAGAAAACCACAGCTCAGATATACATGGGAAAATAATTTCCAATTTGCTTCAGTACATTATTAATAATCAGAAATGTAGTAAATAAAATTGAATTTGTTGAGTAAACCATTGTGATTCAAACACATCAAATGTATTTAGAATTTATAAATAACACAAATTAAGTTAATCTTTTAATTCCAATAGAAATTTAATGATCAATATTATTGGTTTACATCATCAGGAATACTGTTGCTGAATGTTGTGTTTTGGATAAATCTGAAAATGCTAAATCAAGACTAAAGGATTTAATTTACCATCATCATCATGTGCACTTCATTTTTATGCATCTCTTAGAAAAAAATATTTTCTCAGATTTTAATTTGTTTGCTGTCATGTTTTTTTTATTTTGCACATTGTGAACTTACTCCCAGAATCAACAACTGTGACATCCATTAAAGCCCCAAAAGAGGTTTTGGGTTTGTTCTTTGGAGTTTGAAACTTTTTGTTCAATAAATGCATCAAGCAAATCTCTGAACAACAGCAAACAAGTGAACTCTTTCCTTCTTTAGTGACTTCTGCAGGTGATTAGTTGCCCTCAATTGGAATTAGAGGTATCATATTATTCAAGGCTGAAAACTAATGCACATCACACTTTTCACACATAATTTGTGAAAATTAATTTAAAACCAACTATTTTTTCTTCAACTTCACATTTAAGCATTTCTCTTTGTTGCTCTAAGAATCCCAGTGAGATACTTCATGTTGCTTTGCTACCTTATATAAATGTAAATGTTACCATTTATTGTAATAACTGACTTTCATGTTGGTAGGGTTATTTTAAAATCTAATTCATGGTCAACTAATTTATCATCTGCTACATATTTTTGTTGAAGCATTGAGTTCATGTAAAAGCTGAATGAATCAGTGCACTTTGATAGAACAGAGCCTTTGAACAGTTGACTGTGGTCAAAACTCATTTTAGCTGAACAATATCACAGAAATGTCACTTGTACTGTGTAACTAAACAGTCTGAACTACCAGAATTTGTGTAATGCATGGAGTTTCTTAGCAGGCCAAATGATAAATGACTCACATCTCTTCTAGCATTCTCTCTATAGGTTTCTGTAGGCCCCCCTTATGTTTTTTATTTCTCATAGGAATGGAACGCGTGTGTTTATTTTCACGCTGGAGCTTTGAATAGCGCAACCATGTTTTATTCTGGTGGGAGGTTCTGAAGAACTGATGCATATCAGGCCAGTAGGAGTTATCTCCATGTCTGGATAACAGACTGTATTCTGACTAATGTTTGCTTTGTGTTTGAACTTGCTAACATGGTTACCAGATCCAGAAATCTGGTCCGGAATAAATTCACAATGTCAAACTCATGCTGGTTATCACACCTGAAGGAAACTATGGCTGCTAGAACAAACTTCAGATCTGGCAACACAACTTTTCTTCTGCTGCAGGGAATAATGGGCATAGTGACAAAGTTAGATGATTCAATAAATCAGATTTTTAAAATGTAATGCAATCTTTGTTTAGATAAAAGTACCAACAGTACACAGTGCAGACAGTTGTGACCCACGTGTTTGATCTTGCAAACTTCAACGTTGCTTGTGCTTTTTTAAATGTTGTTTTCCTTCAGACTTTATAGTGTTGTTTAACCTTTTATCTCACTAATATGGGGGATTTTTTCAGCCATCAGCCTTTGTGTTCTTTATTCACTTGCAGTGATATAATTCCTGTTCAATTTATCTAGGGTTGTAGTGTTCTGACTAAAATCGAACAACTTTTCCTCATTTCGAAAAAGCACATATTCTGTATCAATATTGCTCACACAATTATTTTCTTCATTTTAGAGAAATGCTGTAATACAACAATAATAAAGATCATGTTGAATGGAATAATGAAGAAGTCTTTAAATGTCACAAATCAGACATTACTTCAGGGCAACACCTGTCACATTGGAATGCAGAAAGAACAGAGGAGGATACATTAAAACTGTGTTTAATCTAATTTGTAACCAACTAGTTTTGCAAGTGAAACTTTTATTTTTTCTCTAAAGTAATGTGAATTTCTGCTTAACACATTACTATAAATGTTCATGAAATTAATCTGCAGCATTTAGAAGAGTTCCCAATACATGTTAGTCAAATCAGAGTTTAGCTCCTGCACTTTGCACCTGGATGAATGTGAATTTGACAGTTACATAGTTTGATCCAATTACATTGAAGAATGTTACCACCAGATGATGCCAGTCAGCCATTTGCGTCATACTGTGGACTTTATCTTGTCTTGATTGAGAACTTTGCTGCACAGAACGATACCCGGATCAAGTCGAGCCGTTTTACATATAAAAAAAAAAATCACACACAAATGCATGAACTTTTCATAACTAATGCAAGGGTTCACACCAGGTCAGAGAAATATGCTGAATGTCATCCTGAATATAACCCAATTTTTTTTTACCAAGAGAGTTGTACAAAATTCTGTTAAATATTGGAATAATTCAAACATATTTTTTGTTGCCAACACCAAAAAGCTTGTGACTTTAATTAGAAGTAATTCTAAGGCTAACTGATTAACAGTTGTTGTTTGCTGTAAGTTTATTCAGCCTTTAATAACCTCACAGGAAGCAAGACAGAAACATGACATGGAATCGCCAGCTGGTTTCCCCATCAGTCAAGAAGTTGTTAAAAGCTGAGTTGATTGTTCATCTGTACTGTTAAATGTTTTGTTTCCTACTTTTCTTATTACACCACTTATCTCAACAGCTTCTGTCAAATTTAAAGTTAACTCCATTGTTGCCACAATTTTCAAGCTTGGATGCCAAGTTCTTCTTACACTGATTTTGTCTTTTATGACATGGGTTATCTGTAACAATATGCTCCATAAAGGTGACTTGTTTTGCTGGGGAATCCAAATGTGCGGACCCCTGCTTCTGGGACGCCTCCACAGCGTTTTCTGGGGCTGACGATGGGAAAGCGTACGCTGCCATCTTTCAGCCAGCCACCATTGCACTGGTCATATTTCTGGAAACGCCAGGCAGCATAAAGCTGGCCAACCAAAGCCAACTCTGATCCCTGACGTCTGCAGGCGTAAACTGCCTGATCATAGGAGAAAGATCCGGTTACATAGAAGACAGAGCCTGTTGCCAAAAAAAACAGACAAAAAAACACAGATTAAATTCTGCTCAAAAATTTAAAAAAAGTGAATATTAAAGCTTTTATTTTAACTTTCATTATTTCATGCTCATTGTTTTAAACTAGTGAAAATTTCTCCTCATTTATTAGCTGCTTGTTTAACATTCAGCTAAAAATAGGATTGGATACATTTTCAGTTAAAAATAATCTAAAGGACTTTGGAAAGGTTTGTTTTTTAACAGTCCTATCAAAATGAACTTATTGCGACTGACAACACACTAATCAAGCCATCATTTAATTGGTTTCCAATAACTTGCAGAATCTGACTTTTTATTTTTAAGCTCAGATTTAAAGTAATATCCAATCTTTCAAAACCCACCATGTTTGTCTCACAGCTACAAGAAATTATGCAAATGTTAATTTGGACATTAACACTGAATTTGTTTTATTTCACAATTATTATTAGATCAACTGCTAGATTATCTTTCCTTGAAGATATTATGGTGGTTAGGGCAAAAGTTTGCTCACCAGGTATCTGGGATGTGAAGCAGAAAGCATCAAACTGATCATGGTTCTTATTTTTTGGCCCATAACTGCGAATGCCTGCTGGCAAGTTTCCTCCACAGACCGGTCGCGGATGAACGATTGGATAATGAACTGTTCCATCATGAATCCAACCTGCATTGCACCAGTCCAACCCCTCCGTCCAAGCTGCCAGAAGAAGTGGGTTATTGTGACAAAACCAGACAGCACAAATACCTCTTTCATGAGGGTAAGAAATTTTTTGGGATGATGGCAATACCTCTGTAAAGCTGGTTGTAGGACGCTAGCATGCCATCTTGCTCAGCACAAGCCAGCTTGGCTTCATGGAAGTTGAATTTGTAGCGTCCATGCTTACTTTGATATGGGAAAACCACACCTAGAAACAAAATGTTATGTTATGTTTCCTGAGCCCTGACAAAAAACACTCCCTCCATGCAGGTTTTCGTACAATACAGGTAGAAAGTGCATTTCAAGTTAGGAAATTTGAATCACATTGCACCAAAGGTAAAATTGTATTGTCATATGCCTGAAAGAAAAACTTATAACAAAAACAACAAATACTGGTATTAGTGTTTAGTTACCTTCAATCTTCAAAGTGATCACAATGTTCTCATCCTCAATGCCATTTATCAGCTCACACTGATACCTCCCATCATCTCCCAGCTCAAGATGGCTGAGCAGCAGGGAGGCGTCCATGGTGTGAGCCCTCAGCAGAGAAGCCCGCTGTCCAACAGGCCCATATGGCTTAAAAGCATTTGCATTCGATATCATTATTATATTCTGTTGCCCTAAATGCTCAGGGTCCAGCTTTGTCCATTTAATCTTGTAGTGGTTTGGTTTGATTCGGAGGATGCATGGCAGCGTAACATTATCTCCCCTTCGGCCGGCCACCTCTACCTGCACAGGAGGCTCGAGGAGATAGTGAAGTTTCTTCGGTGTTGATGGTTCTGAGGGGGAAATAACACAGTCCTAAATATAGGCAATTAATTAGGTTCAAAAACTATTTATTTATTTAGCCAATGAAAAACATTTAGGACATGATCTATAATCATTGATAGACACCAAATTTTGTTAGCTGTATAGCCAAAGATGCAACTTGTCTTCAGACGTTATTTTGTTATTTCTTTTTATCATTTAACTGTTAATTCAGTTCTGTACAACTTTTATTGTAATTTTACACAATATAAATTTTTTTCTATGTACTCAATGTTATGTAAGGCAAAATTTATTTTTGTCTGCTGTGCAATTTTGTGACAAATATTTTAAGAAAACAATCACTAAATGAATGAAACTCTGACTATAAGTCTTAAAAATGTGTTTTCCCTCAGTTATATTTGTTAAAATGTTTGTCATGTGATTTACCCAAAGTAACAGTTGATATAAATGTCTTGCAGGTTCAATTCACAATTCAAATAAAAAAAAGCCGTCATTTTACACAAGAGAAGACATTGGAAAATATTAAAAGCTCAGTTACACTCAGACATCTGATATTAGTGGAATCACTAATAATCTATGACGTTCTGTTACATCACAGCATTGAATCTGGCATAGTTAGACACAATCTGAAGTAAGAATGGTGATGAAATAAATTAACATCTGTACCTGCTCTGTGGGGGTTATATGACGCTGAAGACTG